TGCCGCTTTATGTAGCTTAAGCGCGCGCGCTTCCAAGGAAAATTAACCTCTCTCCCCGCCGTGCTTTCGCGGCTCCTTGACAAACACTCTGTGTGTATAATGACGGTGCTCCCGCCACTACAAAGGGACTGTAATTAGGCGTCTGGCATAGCGGCACAATGTATGATATGTGTCTGGGAGCTGGCAATCATTTCAGGTGGTTCTGGACATAAAAGAGGTCTTAAAGTATTACCGAGCGCCTTTTTCCTTTAGTGAAGGTAGAGAAGGTGGGGAGAACAAAAAAAAAAAAAAAAAAGAAAACCCTTTAATGAACTTGCAGGCATCTTAATACATTTATATTAGCCCCGGCACAGAAGCAACTTCAGGGGTCTTTACAATGTGAGGGAAAAAAAAAAAACTGCTAAAGAATAAGAACGGGCTCACAATGAAGTCTAATTTAGAGAGGTAAATGGAGATGGTGCATTGAATTTGCTCTGAACGATTTTCCCCTGTAGAATTACGGATAGGATTAAAAACATACCTGGGGTTTCATTCTCCCTCATCTGTTTAGACGGAGGCTCATCAGTGTCCCAGGGCGTAGACTGATTGATGGGTGTCTGTCCCCACCTAACGCTAGTGGCAAGTCCTTGAGGCTGATTTTCAGTCTTGGAAATGCAAGGTGTCTACCAGAGAGAGAGGAAAAACACAGAATAAAAATGTTAAGAATGGGTGGAATAATTAACTCTTCCTCATAGCTAGTAACCTTTCTGTTTGATTGCCTGTTTGTTTCGATCCAACAGGCTATCTTAAGATCTTTAAATATCATTTTCTTCCAGGCTTGCGTGAAATGTCTGCATGGAGAATACACTATATCTGGGAGAAAAAAAAAAAAAAGAAAACTCCTAGGAATTTAATAAAGCCACCATTAAAAAAACTCTAGCCTTTTCAGAAATAAGTTGCTTCTTTTGCCTTGAAAATAACAAACAACTGCAGTAATATCTGTTCAGACAGTCACAGCTTACATAAAAATGGGACAATCTTGTTTGCTCAGGCTCTTCCAAAAAGGGTGAGTTTTGTTTAGCATACGGCAGGAAGAGACAGACTTATTTACAACCATAGAACAAATTACTGTAGAACAGTAAAGAGAAGTCCAACTATTTACTGTCTGTCAGCCCTTAAAATTGAATGCCAATAAAAAGAGGCAGCATAACAGTCATTGGCTGCTAAAGTGGATATGTTGGCAGTTCTTCAGACACGTTAAAATAACTGCAAAGTAGGGGAAGGATCAGGGCTGCCTAATCACCAAGGGGCCATGCGAGCTGAAGGAGATTTCCAGAGAAATAAAGGGCTTCACTGTTAAGCCCTGCAGTTTCAGGGGTTCTTCCCAAACAGCCATGCCTTTGCTCAGAAAAGGCCCATCGGAAACGGGGGTGCTCTAGCTGGTCTCGTTTAGTTAACTCCGCGGCATACTTCATCTATTTCATCACTGGCAGATTAAAAGGGTTTTTTTTTTCTTTTTCTTTTCACTGCTGTCAGAACCTCTGCAACGAGAAAACGGAACCAGTTGCCTGTTACCGAGTGAGTATTACGGATTAAAGCCATAAAGAAGAGGAGGCCGGCCTCAGCGATCACTTGTTTGCCTTAATCTGGGGAGTAAGTTAGCTCTGAGGTGGAGGCACAGAGCCTAACTCCATAAATGCGTGGGGACACACTGTACCAATGACGTTTCTGTCAACATCACTGACTTTTTTCCCCATCTCGGGTACCACAATCCCCCACGAACTGTTCCCATCAAGACCTTGGTGAGCTCCTCTGTCCTGCCACGGATCTCACCACACCCGACTTCTCAAGTTCCTCCTTCATTTTCTCTCGCTTTCCTTCGTCCAAGGGCCTCTCACATCTCTAAATGCTAATTCCCTTTTCCTCTTGAGATTTTTCCCTTGCAGGCTGCGGGAGTCAGCAGTCCTGAGTCCAAACCCTGGTGGAGGACAGGGTTTTCTCTGTGCTGCTCTCTTTGCCGGCCAGCTGTCAGAAACAGCACAGCAAGTATCTTCTCCGCTAGAAACGGCATACTTTGTTAAATACAGATGTGTGCCGTGAAAGCTAGTTCTTAATGACTTTCTTCTAGGGAATCTTGAAGTGCAAATTTTCAGTTTGTGTCCAAATGGATTTACCTTTCTTTTCCAAAATGCAGCTATTAACCCCTTCCATGTCATTTTTTGTTTTTTACTTTTACTTCTCTTTTCATTTTTTTTTCCTACTGGTACCAAGGACACGGATATCCAGGTTTTAGATTCACCTTTCCTTCTCTCCTCACCTTTTCAATTCCACTTTTAGCTTTTCAAACCTGCTACAGCTTTTTCAACAAAAGCGAAAATGACACTCGGGAAAGGAAAGACGAGAGCACATGCTGACAAGCGATAGCTTTAAGATTCGTTCTGTTGCACCCAGTGGCAAAGAAAGGGCAGGAGCGGAAGAAATAAATCTCAATTTTCAAATGCTTTCTGTTTATAACTTGTCCTGTGAAAAGGCTCAATCTGAACACTTTTTGCTTTAACACTGCACAAAGTCTTTGACAGAGGAGGAAATAATGCTGCTGTAGGTTTACCAGTCTATGGTAGCAATATGACTTTGTATGTAGTTAAATTGTTCAACAGTGGCCAAAGCACCCTACCTCCTCTTGGGCACGTTCACCCTTCTACATGGTCAAAAGTCAAGACAGAGAAGAAAGGAAAAAAAGCACCACCAGCACTCTCTGCCTATAAATCAACTGTGATACTTTCCTCAGAAAGCCTACTATTTATCCCAGTGCAATACAGTGAATCCGGCATTTTTTTCAATCACCAAAGGACAAGACGATGCATAACTCAAATCATACCACGTGCCACACGTGTCATCTGCATGTTGCATTTCTTTGTTGTATGAATTGAACCTTATAAGCGGGTTTCGAATAGGAAAGAGGTTTGATGATTTGCTATCAGTAAACAGATACTTCTAGCCTGCTTCCACAAACGCTAGTCTTTCCATGAGAACAAATACACTCACAAATCCTGTTTCTTAAAGGCTCACTGGAAGTAAATGCACAAGTCCAGCACCTTGCTTTCAAACTGCACTCCTATGCTCACATTTATTTGATCAGAAAGAGCTACACATATTAATAAAGTAGGGTTTAGACAATAATGATGGAAGAAACAGAAAATCAGCTTACTAAACTCCTTTTTAATATAATAGATATTTCTGGACTCTGATCTAATGTCTGCTTTATTTTTTCTTAACGTATAAAGGGTTACATTACAAGTGCTACATGCCTCTGATCTGATTGCAGCAATTACTGATTTGCATATTTGGAAAGCAAAATTATTTCCAATATTATCAAACAAACAGAGGAACTTTATGACCATGTGCCCTGGCACATGATAGCACTCTATTTGATGCTTTTAACGTACAACACAAATGACCAAAAAATGGCCTGTATTATGCTAGTTGTGTAAGGCAAAGAGATGTGCTCCATTAGTGATCGGCAGACTTCACAGAAACTAATTGTACTATGTTACACTTTTATCTTTAGCTTTCATGTCAGATGCTTGTTTGAATTAAACAAGAAACACATGAAAAAAGGAAATGCATTAAAAAATCTACTGGGTATACATTTTAAAATACTGCCAAATGTCTATTTACGTAAAAGACAAGAAGGTTTCCAAAAGGTCTTTTGAAGCCTACCTAGTCAATAGTAGCACTGGCTACTTCATTGCCTGAAATTCATAAGAGACTCCAAAGATTACTGAATCAAACATCAGCATACTTTTAGCAACCCTAAAAGGTTTAATCTGTATTCTTAGTTACAGATAAAGTGCACAAAATCCTAATTTGAGGATATGATTTTTTCCTCTTGTATTTCAAATAACCATTAAGAGCAAATCTGAATTGCTGTCTAATAAGTTGAAGCTTAAATTTTACGGCATGCCTGTAACTTTGAATTGCAGCAATGAACGGTGACACGTTCTACAGAAGAGAGTTTCAGAGATTGTGCTAGCTTATGCTTTGAATTTCCTAATAATTTATCTGTTTGATATTCAACTAAAATAGCAACTAAAATTAGAATTTCTTAGAGTAGTGCTCGGTTCTCCCATTTCTAGTCCAAATGGCTTAAGAAAAGCAAAATCCCTTCGTTTTATTTTTGAAAATCGATAATTCACATTTTGACCTCACTCCTTCTTCTCACCCTCCCTAAAGCCAGTTCTCCCTCTCCACCATATCGCTCTCTCCAGCAAAGACCCTCTGACAAGTGGACAGTGAAGGTGACTAACAAAGGGGAGACCCAAACAGACATGATGCAACTAATTGGAGAATGAATATAAATAAAAATTACATTGTCTTACAAAAGTAGGTTTTTTCCTATCCACTTGAGAACGTAATTAATTTACCTGAGGTTAACACCTTGAAGTTACTAAGCAGCCACTAAACATTACGATAGCGATTCAAAATAATTCAAGAGCTCCTTCACTATTGGAGACAACATCTTGAATTAAAACAGTAATCAGTGCGATGCCATTTGGCATGGGGCAAAACACCCCATATTTAAAAATGACGACTGACACAGAAAAATAAACGGGGGCACAGATTTTATAAGTGTACCGAAACGGTCATCAGAGGGATTTTATCTGCATATTTATTGTTTTCCACAAATCAGCCAATTTAGGCTTCTGTGGTCAACACAGATACAAAAGGTGATGAGTAGCTTAGCGCTAAAACCAGCACATAAACCACACTTAAGAGCTCCTGCCCCAACTACATCTTACACCTTCCACTGTCAAAATAACTTGCAGAGTTGGAGAGCTTGTAAATGAACACCGGCGAGGCATATCTGCAGCACATGAAGGCTCTACGTCACTGGCGGTGAACCTCAGAAGAAGAAGGGGTTAGGTGGAGAGCCCCTTTCTCCTCACAGATTGTTTGCCCTAATGTTGAGCTAGTTGGCAACCTGTTCAGCCTTGGAGGACACAGACCATCTTTCTGCTTGGACCTCTCCACACCCTCAGCTCAGACACGACTGTTCTTCCTTTCCACCTTTCACAGGCACTAATGTTACTTCCCTAAAAGACATACAAAAAGCATATAAAGCTGAGATTAGCCCAATTCTCTAAAACAAAACCGGAAATTCTTTCCTCAAGCTTTTTTAAACAGCAGAAAGGAGACACTGGCAAAGGCAGTTTCCCAGTCCTAAGGAAATTAGCTGCAATACGGATGTATGGGCTGAACAGAGCAAGGTGGAATAATTTCAGAGTTATGCGAGGCTACCAGGGACAAGTTGCCTGGTTGCCAATCTTTTTTTCCTTCAGAGAGTCATGAATCATGGCCCATAAGCAACAGTAATTGCTGTACAGCTACTTGACTGAATCTTATTAAATCAAAACATTAAAAACTTTCAGGTTGATGGGCCTATGCAGAATATCCTGAAGAAAGTTTGCGAGTTCAGAGCACTCAGCTGGTGCTAAAGACGGAATTAGTGATTCAGACTATCCTACAGAAGTTTATATGGCTACTACTGTTGTTCAAGAGGTATATTTGCAACTAAGTTTGTCTTTAAGTCCCAACCTTTCTGAATCTTAGATGAAGTAAGACCTAATCTTTCAGTAAGACCTTTTACATGAATGGAAACATATAACCTGCCGTGCTACTACAA